TGTACTCTGCTATACTATACTTTTAAACCAACCTGTGGGAATAATAAAAACCAATTTCTTCAATGAAAACGCAAAACACTATCTGTGCTAACACAGTAGTGACATCTGGAAGCTTTTTGTCAAAGGATGCACCTAGAAAAGATGTTTGACGGCGAACATTTAACGAAACTGCGCTGCGAAAAATAGAGCCCTACCTGTAAATTTCATGGGGTAGTGGAACAGAGCCGAAACGATCACTGCTGTCACAAACTGGTTGAACAGTACTAATCCCAAGGCTTCCACATATTTTGAAAGCGGTGGCTGAAACAAGGATGAAAATAAGGAGCGTCTCTCTATTCATGTTTTATTTGGATCTGAACATGTTTTTCAGATCTGGATATTTGTTATAAAGCGACACAGGAATCCGAAACACTTTCAAGAAAGCGAACCAATGTGTACTACTGCAAAGGTCATCCAGCAGCAGATCAGTTCCCCCACCCGACACTACATACACGCAAAATCATTAAGACGGGGTGGGCGTGGCTGCGTACTTGCAGAACGTGGCCGTGGCCTTTCATTTTTACACAATTGTGTCGTGTCAGTCCAGCACTGAACAAGATGACAGTTGTCTCGAACTGAAATATCCCACGAGTAACCTATTCCGTGCCATGTTCAAATGCCACGCCTACTCCGTTTCAGGGATAAGGAGTGTATATTCACAAATACAGGGCAGACGCGCACTGCTGCAACTCAAAAAGAGCTCCACATTGAGGGGACAAGCTACGACTCTGACTACTGAGTAAATCCAAGAATATGTTGGCTTCCGACGAACAATATAAAACATTACCACATTTGTCACTACCGGCGGTAACGCAGGCCTCGATCCGTTTGGTAGCACTCAGGTAAGCGATATCAGAACATTCCTGGTCCTCCAGAAGAGCTTGCAGATCTTTGATGGTTTCATGTTCCATTACTACATGGACTAGCGGTCCAACGTACTCAGATAAAGAGAGTCGGGAGGTCTTCGCTGAATCGGACGAAACCCAGAATGTTAGCCTTGGACCAAGTTGGACACTTCTTGGTGGGTCAAAAAAGGAACTTTTCTCTTGCGAAACTCAGGAGGATTTTCCTCCTGATCCATTCATCACGCGCGTGTTGAGCTGACCTCTGACCATTTCTCCCCCTCTTATCCTGTTACAGGGCTCTCACAATTAGAACTTGAGTTACTCAACGAAAAAACCTCCAAGGATAAGGTCCTTGCCATGCACGAGGTGAACGGGTCAGCGTACCACTACGAGCACAGCAACGGACAAGGGGATTTCGGGTTAGTCATACCTGGGTGCCGTGTTCCGACGCGCACCGCTCGGCGAACCGCACACCTAAATGTGCTCTCGACGCAAGCGCTGCACAGTGTGGTTAGCTCCACCAGAGTTCCATACGATATATCGCTACTTTTTAGCCTCGATCCCGCAAGCTTTCGAAAAATGGAAGTATTATGCCGCTGCAGCGTCGTTCCAGCACATGGCAAGATCCGTCCCTGGAGATAAGTGTACGATCTTTCTTTGAGCAATTCGCCTCGAGCGACGCTCTACCGCTAATCGGTGGACCGCTGCAACGGCTTGCCAGCAGATGAAACTTGCTCCTTTCTGGGAAACGACGCTCAAACACAATAAAGTGGTCAAAGATCTAGAGTTAGGTGTTGCAGCGGTTCCAGCCGTGGGGCGCCCTCTGTCGTTGTCGCTCGACGTGAGCGACTGAAGCGCTCGAGCAGTGAAAAGTGAACACACCCTTACTGTGTTAAGCGGAGTGATCAGAAATTTCGTTCAGAAGTCCGAAAAAAATCGAGATACCCTGCCCTTGAAGACAGATGGTGTGATAATGCGAATAGGCTCATAGATTGAATGTGTTTAAAGGGAGCAAAAAGAGGTAATTTCGTGAGGTTCTGCGAGGGCAGTCTCACAATGATTCATTGTTAGTAGAGCCCGAACGCAATGTTATTCTTTCACCGAAGCGCGGACAAACCGTTGAAGAGGCCTCAAGCGAGACTCCAGACTTGAATGGAACGACACATGCTGTTGTACAGGCTAGCCAACCAAAGACAATGGATAACAGGAACGTAATTTAGCGCTTCACACTGTGCTTACAGGTTTTTCAAAACGGAAGCCATATCTCCTGTTTAGGTGGCCAGGGCAACTTCTATCACAGGTAGCGCTCCTTCGGCTCATGACGATCACACTGCCCTGCCCTTATTACTCCATGTAGTGCTGCAAGAAAAGGACAGCTTCTGACAATTCGGAAGACTACCTGTCAGTGGAAGTTCTACTCGTTGGGACTTGCTCTTCACTATCCTGTTAACGTTGTTAACTGTTGAAATCAGTTCTACAACAGTGCCATTCTCAAAGTCCCCAGAGTGCTTCGATACCTGCTTGATTTTTGCTCAATTCCATAGCTACGCTCTAGCTCAGCATTCCACTGATTACAATACGCATGCGAGCCCTACATACGATAGCAGCACATTCGCGAGCCGTAATGACATCACCAATTAAAGGCACGGTAAGCGATGAGGAGCTTATTCAATGGTGTATAGAAGACGACTCGTCAATTCATCCGTCTTTAAAAAGGAACTGCCAAAAGGACGTCGGGAATGCCCCTAATAGGACCATTCCTATCTCAGACACGCGGGTAAAAGGCTGAAAGACTGCGTGTCAATCGATCCAGTCGGTTCATTCTTCCTAATAGGCCCTATGACTCCGCAAGAGACTATGGAGCATCTCCCTTTCATGCTACTTGTGCGGTAGCATCGCTTTTGGCTGGAAGGCGGGCTTTGGAGGCGGAGTCTGGAGGCGGAGTCACTGGAAAAAGGGAGGTGTCACTGAGGCAACTTTGCGCCTTAACTCCTTTACCTTACAACTTTCCGCCGCAAAACTGGCACAAGGTTGTCCACCGCGGACCGCGCTAACCTCCCACACAACCTTTTGCATTTTCATAGGTCATCGCGGACCGTTCCTCTTAAACAGGTCAAACAACGTTCCCCATCAGAAATGCGGGTTCTAAAGAATACTAAAGGAAGGATAGTTCAAGTCTAACCTGGTCTTCTACTTTGAAAAAAAAGTATTTACCCGTTTATCGTCTTGAACTTTGAACTTCTTTGTCCATGGTGAATCGAAGATATCTATCAAGAACGAAGGCAGAATTGAAGAGGTAGAAGAAGACATTCACAATAAAACACACCGGCAACGACACTGAAATGAAGCTTTTCGTTTTCGCTAGCTTTAAATGCATCGTTGAGTGGAGTCGGCACTATGAAGAGACGAGGTTTGATTGAAAGATTATCCTTCATTGTTATTAGATTTTATTAAATACTGAAAACTATGATGGGAAATCTCGCCGTTCATTAACGGTTACAGCGAGGTTATTAGAACAGAGCAAGAGTGGTACTGTAGATCCTGCAGGACATTGTTAGCTCCTTCACAGAAGAAAAAATCATTTCTGTTTCCCACAGAAGAGCTATGTACACGAGTTGACGGAACTTCGCGGCTCCGGCACAGGTTGCTTTTCGAGCACAGTTCGGCTTGGGTGGGAGGGGGGGGAGGGTGGCTAACCTTGTTAATATGCCAGACGATTTTAGCCTTGAAAACTACAGTGAAGCTACGAAATAGTGCGAGTTCTGCCGAACCCTTGTAGAGGTCTGCAAACTTGTAAAGCTACGAATTATCGGTCACAACTTCACGTCATTCCCCCCACCTTTTGAGGGGGTTGCCAGTACAGTATAGCGCGAAGAGGACGACTAAGAGCCAGGAGGCTAAGGATTCCCACCCAAACCCAGAAGGAATGAGCCACGGGTTGGATAAACCAATAGTTCAGCAATTGACTTAACGTGGAACTCGAAGTATTTCGCAATTTTACAGGAATTTTCAGAAATTTATCAATCTTCTTAGGAGGAACAGCGCTGCTCCCAGTTCTTCCCCTGCGAATACTTTTATCAGTTGGTCTTGCAGGGTAATAAATGCAATTGAGAACGCTACTTTGGTGGCGAAAAACTTGTCAGGTGTTCGAAACAGCCGGCAGTTAAAGAATTCACAAACTCCTTATCACTTAACACTTACCGCTGCTTTCCAGTTTCTTCGATAACACTGGAAGAGTGACTTTTTCATGAGCGCACCTTTCTTCTGCGAACTCTTTACTCTTGCGAAGCTGGCACTGATATCTCGCAACGTCATTTCAAATTAAAACTACTCAAATTGTGCCTCTCTAGACGACTTATTTTACATGCCTACGCTATTTATTACTGATTCTCAGTCAGAGCAATACTGCTGTGGGACCAATAAATGCCTTGTTGAAGTAGGGACTATGGTGTCGACAAATCTTCCCGAAGGAGCGATGAGAGAGGCGCACCGAACTTCACATGAAAAGGCTTCTTTTCCCAGTAAGAGCCTATGAAAAATATGGATGTTTTGCACACGTTTCGAGAAGTTTCTATTTTTGCTAGAAGTTTCCTCTTTCCCAGAAGTGAACGATGAACTCAGCTGCGAAAACCGTTCGATGCTGGAGGAACAGCGGGAGTAAAAAACTATTTGCGACCCATCTTAGATCAAAAATCAAAGGAAGGACAAAATTACCCACAACTTCGTCTGGTCAAACTCTTTTGGGGAAAACTATCCTGATTTCATTGTAATTCTCAGGTTGCATTCTTTATCAAGGTAGTTTGGGTATTGTAGGTATTTAACACATTGCGGACCGCCAGCGCACATCTTTGGATCATTTTATCATTTTTCATCAGTAGTTCATCAGTAATTTCCTCCATTTTCCCAGTAGCTCATGAGGTATGTTACGTAACAGTGAGTGTGTTCTGGCTACAACGGAACACGAAAGGAGAAAAAAATTAATCCAATTAGAGGCCCCATAGGGACAAATTCATGACCATTTGTGTCACGCGGTCCGGAACGTGTTAAAACACCCTCTGCAGAACAACTAAAGGAAGGGACTATGTGGTGAGTGATTCCGATAAGTCGGCTCGCCAGATTTTTTTTCGATCATTCTGCAAGTTGAGAATCTCTTACAATTCAACAATAAGGATGGGTAGAGGTACAGGTCAAACTGCGATCTTCTGGAAAAATCATTTAAGAATAATCAGCCAGTTTTGAATAGAGGACTAAACACCAGCATTTGGGAACGGTCTAGAGAGGATGTCCTACCTATGCGAAAAAATATACTGGACTAGCAGAAAAACACTGGATCGTCTGGAAAACTTACTTAATGAGAAATTCGTTGCCTTGGAAGAGGTCATAGATCCAGCCATACGCTCGTTCCATTAGCTGCAAATGATTGACTTCCTTATCGTTCCGTAATCGATAAGGCGACACATTTTCACCGTCAAAACTGTGGTTTAACACAGCTGACACATATTACAAAAAGCACCATATGGGTGGTCAGAGTCCAGTAGCGATCAGCCGACTGATGCTGTTTTTGCTCTCCACTACACTACGCCCGTCTAGTCGAGCGGGTTGATCACTTGCTAGTCTTCGGCCTATCGCAGTTATCAAAAGGCCTCCTACATGGGTGCTGGAAAATATGCTTAGCGAGCTGCTCTAAACCGTACACCTCAATGGTGATTCGCAAATCAGCGCAAAGCATTGCTCTCCTTTCGTTGAATGTGATAAATTATCAGCGAGTGTGAAGGTCCACCGATAAGACGCGAAGCTCTCTCAGTCGCAGGTGCTCGATCGGAAAGTGTAAATGCATTTCGGTGAAGGTTTTTTTCGCAAGCACATACTAGTATGAAATGAGATGTGAATCTAAACCTAGTAGGTAGGTGGTCTGCATCGTTATTGCAAAGCCAGGCGGCTATTAACGTGCTGTATTTCACTTCCGTAGTATAGTGCGACTGACATATAACTGTAGCCTTCATAATAAGTGTTACGACCATCTCCAGTTTCGGACGGACGAATATGGCAGTTTATTTGCTTCTCACATGGACGCGAATGTTCACTTACAGGGTACAGGATGGGGATATGCGAAATGGCAGTGTGAATACGCGCCCCCGCCCTCGAGAAGAGTCCAGTTACGACCCCCCCGTGCCTTCTTCTCTAGACTGAACAACCAGAATTCATGATTCACCCAAATGGACTTCCGAAATGCGAATCTGGAGCTTTCGAACAGGCGGACTCTGCTTTAAACCTCTGGGCCAATAATAGGTGTTCTCCGTTGCGTGGCAATATGAGGACTGAACCTAACAGCCGCCCGACTTGCCTATATAATTTTGTCTTAGGATTCAGAACAAACTCGCAGTTCGACAACCATGTAATGACTGCACTCGTAACAAGGACCTGCATTGAAAGCACTAAGCGTGATCATTGATAGGCTGACTTGGTGGCAAAATAGCTCCCAAGGTCAGCCGTGTGCAGGATCCTGTCATTCAAAATGAAACTGGGCGGCGGTGGAAAAATCAAATGCAAACATGCACGAAACACACAAGTGAAAACATTGAAAAATAGAATAAAAATGCAGAGTCAAATGAATGAAGAATGGATAACCAGCGTGGGGCGTATTACCATTCTAATAATTGGCTATTATTCCACTGCGCCAAACGTTGCGGACCACTTTCATTGGAAAACGATTTGCGGAGCGCGCGTTGTTGGCTTGCCGTCCCTGGCTGTTTCTCGGGGGGGGGGGGTAGATATCTCTTTGCGGAGCGCGGCTTTTGTGAGTGGTTTAGGCATTCAAGACAATGTTCTATTGTATGCGGTGATTATACAATTGCAATCGATTTTTCCGCGTTTCGGCTGGAAATATTTCGGATGGGTTTCCGGATCGGCTAGGGGTAAATGCAAGCGGGTATTTCATGCTCACGCTAAGAGATTACTTATTTTTGAAACGGCCATTTCTCCAGGATAAAAATCGTTTTGACCCCCGCCCATAAATTTTTTTATCGCGATACAAGCCTTTGCAGTTTTATTCTGCTAGTTCAGGAGATATTTTAGATGGGTCACAGACGCGCTACCCTCTGACCCACCCGAAAAATCGACTCCTTCTGTGCCATTGTGAGGATACACCTTCGGAAAACTTCAGTGTGCCTTCAAAACACATATTTCCCTTCAAATGAGTGAAAGAGCTCGGCTACCAACTTTGAAATTAGATTTGGTGCCGGAGTGTGGCACTGTGCGTTACGCTCGGCAGAGAGATGGTGGAAAGGTGCAAAATTGCTTGATTTCAGGTGTTTATCCATGCAAGCAGATGTTTGTTTAGGCTTTGGAAAGGACAATACGCACGAATCTGTTTGAGACGTATTATTTAGTCATCTACGTACTTACGAGTTCATGCTATTAACTGATATTTATTTATTTATTTATTTATTTATTTATTCTTGTATTCTTGCCTAAATTGCTGATGATATTTTTATTATTTTGAGTCCTTCTTACCTGCCGGTTCCATTCAAAGCTTAGCAATGACACTTTTGTAACTGCTTGATGCCTAGCCGCAGCCTAGGGTGTGTCGATAGTCCGCACATCCCCCGCGGCCAAGTACGAGCCCATTTTTGGGAATTTCACATGAAAAGAGGGCGGTTAAACGTGGCAATTAAACCCGTAAAGAATACACCCATAATAATTTTCACTTTTTCAACATCTTGACCTGCCATAACTCCACTATCCACTATCAACTGAAAATGCCGGAAGCCACTGTCCGGCTCTGAGTTGACCGCTTTTGAGGAATTTAACGGCCTCCCCCTCCACAGCGGCCAGTACCCTGTTCACATTAAACAAGCCGCCCCTTGAGTTTTGCGCAGAATATTTGTGTGCGATAATTAACTTTATCGGGTCTCATCTCATTCTAGAGCTTGGGTGTTTGGTTATCGCGGTTGCTTCGCGTGATGCTAATAGAAAAGCGCTTTTTCAAACTCGCATTGTTCAGATTATTCCCCACTTTTCCTGTTCGCCGTCAGTAAATTTAGGAGAGCTAAGGGTCTGTGGCTGGCTCCGGACGTCATGTGCAAATTTTAGGGTGCCTATGAGAGGGCTGGAACACGGACACAAGGATAAGAAGGTCGAGCTAAGTCGAGGAGACAAGCGCCTAGTAGGGAAGTTCAAGAAGAAAACGAAAGAAAGAAAGCTTCTTTGTGTGTGTGTGTGTGTGTGTGTGTGTGTGTGTGTGTGTGTGTGTGTGTGTGTGTGTGTGTGTGTGTGTGTGTGTGTGTGTGTGTGTGTGAGGAATGGGCACGACAATAGATTCGTCGTAATCGTTGTTCTATATAAGCGTTCCTGTCGCGGCATTTTTATTGATGTGACCTGACGGATGCCGTTATGTCTACAGGTACTTAGTAATTTATCGATAGGTATCCATCGTAATCGTAAGTCCATCGTAATCGGAGAGCCAATTAATGTTTCTGAGAAGAACTAGCCTATCAAAGGAATCTATGTGAAATCTAGAAGTATGCAAATGATTTCTTAGAATCTACACGGTATTCCTAGTATTCCTGCAGAAAATACCTCTTTCCTAGTCAAGGGGTCCAATACTTGCACTTTACGCAGAAAAAAACATTGGATGCAGGATAGAAAAATCGTTGTTGTGAAGCTGGATAATACATTTTTTTGCGGCTGAGCAGTAATGGTAGGAGTCGGGTGCTTTTGGCAAGTCTGTACTGTTTTCATGCGTAGTAAAGTGTCTATACGGGGCCGAAAGCAAAAAAATAAGTTTTACTGGAGTGTTCTTGCCATAAACAGGTTCCTCCCTCTGGTTTTCTTAAGTTTCTACTTTTTTTTCTCCAGCAGCACCAGCTTGCTCACTGCTGCACACAGAACATAGCTGCCATCGTCGAAGTCCTTCCTTATTTTCTCCTATTCAGATTCAATTTTACCCTGAAACTTGACGTTCTGATGCGATGACTTGACCTTTGAGAGAACTGGTAACTTGCTTCTTCCAGTTATGGGCTGCCGATGCGGGCTCCGTGCCGCATTAGGCAAGACAAGTCTTCTTTTTAGCAACTGAGATTTTAGATGCCCACAGAACGACGACGCCGACACTCTTTATGAGCTCATCGGCCGCTGCCTGGGCGATTAAGATGTAAAAGGAAAAATTCGCCGCCTCTGGTCGATTCGCTTTCAGGTATGCCTCACAGTTCTGCTCCAAGTCAGGAAGCGTCGTATGCTTAGATGCGATGTGAATTTACACAAAAGTACTTATGGCGACCAGCCGACGTACAAGTCAGTCCTGCCCTCCTAAACAA